TTAAACAAGGACAGATGGCAACATGACATGTTCCTTCGGGAAGAAGCCGCAACTGCCTGAGCTAATGCCTCCGTCCTCCCAAATGCAGACATGGGATAAGCCGGCTGCTAGGTTCAGTTGCCCCCCTTCTCTGTTGGCAGCCAGGGCCCGTGTCCCTGGCCGGCTGCAGACGGTGGCCAAGGGTCCTGCTGAGTGAGTCGCCCCGTTAGCTGACCAGATGGACCCCGATTAGTCACTTCTCCTCCCTGCTGTGAAGGTGAAGCTGCTCCCGAGGCCAGTGCATAGTTAACACAGGGAGCAGGAAACAGGACCCAGCCTTGGTGCAAACATGACCCCCCCCCCTCAAAATCTCAGTGTGCCAGAACTTTGAAGGCACTACCTTCAAAAGAGAGGCTAGAGCAGATGTCCCCATGCTAGAGGGGGGACCAGAGACATGCCTGAAGTGAACATCTTAATTTCAGAGTGGATTATAGCCCAATTTTTCTCCACCCAGTCTTCTGCTTAAAACCTCCTGCTATTCAGCCTCAAAATACTGGCACAGAACTACCTGCTCCCCTCCATTAGTGCTGCAAACATTACCCCAAGGAGTCTGTAACAGAAAAATACAGCATGACACCTAACCACAGCTGCTGCAGGCTCTCGAGGGGCTGACTTCCACACCTACCTCGGGCTGTCCTGCTGTCTGCAAAGAGCGGGGCTTTAGGCACAGCCAAGCCTCCACCCCAGGAGGTGTGGAGGCCGCCGGCCAAGAGCTCTGCCCGGCCGAGCAGGCACTGCTGCCAGGGCTCGATGGCAGGGAAGGAACAGCTCTCTACTCTCCACTCATTTCAATATCGCTTTTCTTGCTCTTCTTTGGGAGATTCACACCCGCTCTCTCGCATCTCCTCCTGGGAAAGGGGGATAGCCAGGGCCTGAAGGATTTTTACACCATCTAATCTGCCAACCCAACTGCAGCAGATCCCATGAACACATCTTGGTCCTCAGGGTGTTGTGGAGTAACAAGTGAGCACCCACATCATAGACGAGCAGCAAACTGATATACCAGAACACATAGCAAAGGTCAGTGGTGTTGCAAACGTTCATCCTGGCTCACACTCCTTCGAAATCACAGGCAGGGGGATGGTGTAACCCACAGCCCACCCAGCTATGGGACAGCCAAGGAGAAGGCAGAGCATCATCTGCACACATACGCTGGGCTCTGCTCTGGCATACGGTCCCTGGAGGGCAACGAGATTCCATCAGAAAGTGTTTTATTCTCTTCGGCTGCACTTTCATTAGACCTGGGCCACATCTTACTAATCTATGTAGGAGGAGCAGGAAAAAGACACCAGCTCAAACTGTCATCTCCATCTATCAAACCCCCCAGCGGGGCAGGAACAAGCAGCACCGAAATGGCTGAAGTGCAAAGCGCTATGTCGATGACTAGAAAGACGCATGCCATTGCTCAAACTGAGCGCTGACACCCACACATCACTGCGAGCGTGCTTCTGGGCTGGCGGTGTTGAGAGGCACCAAGCTCAGACAAGGCAAGCGTGCGTCAGGAGGAGCCCTCGGTAATCATCCTGCTTAAGCCACTTCAGTCACATCACCGCTGTCCCCAGGGGGCTGCAGCAGTGTCACAAGCCAGGTCCTGATAATAGCCACTATACGAGCTGGTGGAGAGGGCTGATGAGAGATTATGTTATCTAGTCACACTGCGGGGAGCCAACAACAACAAAAGGCTCAAGAGTTTGTACAGAGAAATGATGACAGTAGGTGATAACGCTGTACATTTGTTCAGAGGCTCTTACCTTCATTAGCAACAAACATTCAACCTCAGTACTCCTCCGGCAAAGGTAAGGATATTATTGCCACATTACAGATGGGGAAATAGAAGACTATAATCAAAGGGAGGGCCTGGAGAAGAATCAAGAGCATGGGTCCCGGCGGTGCAGCATACAAATCACAGTTTATTTGGACCCGCCTGACCTGGAGCACAGCGTAGCAGCCTGAAGACATGAGGCAGGCCAGGAAGCAGTCTCAGTTTCAAACTGAGAAGGTCCTACAAACAAAAGGCATCGCTCACTAAGTGCCCACAAAGGAATGGCAGGAGATCACTTCATTAGAGCATGGTCTATGCTACCAGTATCATGCCCCAAAGGGCTGGGACACCCAGCAATCAAATACCAGCCTTAAGACACACATACGCAACTCTGGCTTGTCAGACACCCTGCTCAACAGCCCGACTCAAGCCACGACGCCTGCTGCAATGATGCGGCGTTTCGCTGTTTGAATTCTCCCAGCGCTGCTGCCTGTCACACACTGGACGCAATCCTAGCAAACAACGCAGCAGGACCTCCATGCGCCCGTGTCTCCGAGGCAAACGTCTGACTTGCCTTACAAATCAGGAGTTAGGGCAGCCCGTTGCCTCAGATGTGCCCAGCTGAGCCTTCCCAGCAGGATCAGCTCAAGGCATGGTCACAGCCAGCACAAATGACGGACGATGCATTCTTATTACGCTCATTACGCAGCCTCAAGCCCTAACTGATTTGCAAACCAAACACAAAGTTTTCCTATTGTCAGCATTAGAAAGCCAGAGTTAACAGCGAAAAGCTGCATCCGAGTCTGCCTCACCTAGGCAAGGGCATAAAAATCAGATACAGGGATCTGATTATAGTCAGATGTCTTCATCCTACCTCCTGTTCATGTAATGAAGCTCACCACCAAGAGCGAAGACAGGAAATATGCAAATAAAAGTGACTCCTTGTCAGAGCAGGGAAGACCTTTTGTTTTACAGATCAAAATCTAACGGAGGAAAACCAAATATCCACACAATCCCAAACTGGGCAAACTCGCATCACTGAAAAAGCATGAGCCAAGCAGGGATGCAACTGTGCCTGGCCAGCCCCTGCAATTCAGACTTTGCCCCCCAAAATGCAGAAGGCAACAGGAAGCACCAGTGTCCCCTGCCACCACACATGGCTGGGCAGTTAGGAAGTTCTGGTTTCCTTTCGAAACCCAAGCACACTGTGGCCTTGATACACGTCAGTCACCTCACCATTTAGTCAGAAG